ACTACTCTCCTACCCCTCCCTGAGATCAAATTCAATTTACCCCCAAAATCTGGGGGTTCACGTGACCAGCTCCGACCAGGGTCTTTGCTTCCCAAGAGCAAAGAGCCTGGGAACGAGGTTGGGATGAAAATTTGATGAGAAATTAGCACGAGTTTGTCTTGCTTTGTGGAGTAAACTGAATGCGTATTTAGCCCATTGTATAGTTTATGCATGAACAGCGTGATGCAGTCTCAAAAATAATCCCAAACACAAACTTCGTAAAATGTTTCTTAATAGGTCTAACCTTACTAACGAAGACCTGTTTTGTAAAAGATGTAAATATTTACTAAATTGTAAATGTATTCATTACTAATTAATTTTGTTCTCATATATATGCGAATAGTATAGTAATCTCACCTTCTATTATTTGTAAATATTGTAACATTGTGAGGGCCGTCTGCTAGATAACTATTATTATTATACATTTAATATGTATTCTCGTTTCTAATTGGTCAGAAAGCACGGGCTAATTTTCAGTATTCGGCATTTATTACGTATTTTCCGCCGATGACGTCATCAGCGTCCAATAATTGTTTTTTTGGATCGAACTTGCATCCAAAAAAAAAATTATTGGACTCTCTCGTGCCCAAACCCTTGCGCGGCCAAAAGCTTGAACCTATAAGCGCGGGGGAAAAAAAAAACAATGGCCGACAGCAGATTTGGTACGCTGAATGAAAGTGAACTCTCCAAATTATTGGCAGATAAGGATAGTGAAAGCACGAAAAAAGCCACAAAGGGGTAAATAGAAGTAGAAATATAATATTTAGCTGACCTTTGACTTTGTGCAAGGTATTTGATATTCAAATTGTACTTTTCCTACCTCATGAACAGGAATCGTTTTATACGTTTCTCATGTCTTTAAATGTATAATAAAACAATTATTGGATTCTGCTTTCGCATGATATCAAGAATTATTCAGACCTCGGTCTATGTTATCCGCCTCAGCTTCGCTTCGGCAGATAACATTGACCTCGGTCTGAATAATTCTTGATATCATGCTCAGCCTCATCCAATAATTGCTTATGGTTAATACGTTTTCCTCGTGAAATAAAGTTTTTACTTACTTTATACCTAATGGTCTCCAAGTGCTCTCTAATAGTATTTTTTTTACCGCAGCCTACCAAGATAACCCGGCGTAGTCCATCGCCCAGTATTCTATCTCCCAGTCTACCACCACGTATTCGACGCGTGTCTAGTGACCGCGTGCCTTGGATGGACACTGGGTCTGGTAAGCACATTTCACATAGTTTAGCGCAACTAACTACAGGGGTGTATTAAAAAGGTGTACGGTTTTGAAATGTCCGCAGTTTTGAAATGTCCCACTGAAAATTCCGCACAATTTGTGACAATTTTACGTTATTGGTAGTTGCGGGCTTGGTAGTATCTCTATCACAAAATAATTCTGGAAAATAAATTTTCGAGTGCAGCAGGTCTGTTTTTTAAAACCACTTTAAAAATGGAAGGCCTGAAACACAATTTGAATCGATATAGGGTGCAAATTTGCAATTAGATAAAAGTGTTTGAAAGGGGGCAGTGACCGATTTGAATCCATGTAGGGTATCAAAGTACCAGACAATTTGATACACAACTCCAATCCGCGATCTCTAAAATTTGGAATTTTTGCTATAGCAGCCTTTCGCGTCTTTAAAATTTTTGTAAAGAGTATATGTAAGAAATCAAACATGCATAAATCAATCATACATGGAATCAGTCGTGGGTTTGATAAATTATTCGTGAAAAGTTAAAGGCAAAAAAGCCGAAGTTTTAGGAGTTGCGCGTAGGACTTATTAGAACATGCAAGACAAAAACTTTGAGTAATTCGTGGTCCCAGGGGTGAGGAATATATCTATCTCGAAATTGCGTGGAAACACTCGCACTTCGTGCTCGTGTTCCCACGCAATTTCTCGTTTCTCCCAAACTTCCACGCGTGTTTCTATGACTTTATAGAAACACAGAATTTCTTAATTAGTCATTTGACAATTTTTTATGCAGTTATGCTCCTTCATATACGATTAGAAGCTATTTTAAATTCCCAGGGATAGAAAATCGTGTACTTAACAAAAATAGAATTATTTATTAAGGTCTCGTTTTTCAATACACCCTGTATTTTACTTTGCGTGGGAAAATTTCAAAAGGTATACTTTTTTTCGGAACACCCTGCATGGATAGAGCGTTTGCACTCATTCCCCAGGGACCAACTCAACAAAAGCCATGGCGGCCATGTTGGTGTTCCAGACAAAAGAGTCTATGACGTCATCTGCGAACGCTTTATACAGGGTGTATAAGAAAAAGGAGACCTTTAGAAATCAAGCATATTGTTAAAATTTGAATGCCTTTCAATTGCACATATGCTGAACCGTGGTGCGTGAAATATTGATGAGTGCATATATTAGAAAAAGGAGACCTTTAGAGATCAACCATTGTTATAATTTGAATCCTGGAGCACTTTGCTAAGCCCACGAGTGCGTAACATGCGATCTACGTACAGTATGCATGGCAGATTGTTCCCAGGAGCAGACAATTTTTTGTTAAACGTTATTTCAATTCTAAAGGTCTCCTTTTTCTAATATATGCATATGTGCATGCAATTGAAAAGGCATTCAAATTTTAACAATATGCTTGATTTCTAAAGGTCTCCTTTTTTTTGATACACCCTGTAGACAAATTTTGCTAACGTTTGTTCATGCCAAATTCACATCTTTAGATAACTCCACTAATCTAATACTCGCATGCCTAGTTACTATTGTTTTAGTTTACAAAAGCATAGAATAGAACAAAGGTGACTTAGCTTTAGAATTATCTACATGAGTGAATGACTGTTATACGTAATTATAATGCTTAGTTACCATTGTTCTATTCTATGCTTCTGTGAGCTAGGCATGTGAGTTATCTAATGTTGTGAAATGGGTAGCAACGATGTATACAACGTCAGCCAAATTTGTTTATTGCATGAAATTTAAGGCAAACAGTTCATAGAACTAGGATTTCCAGCACGAAAAGGTGGTCATATGTGTAGTGTTTAAAGCGAAAATAGTTTGGACGGAAGTTTAGAAGGCGTGGTGTTATTGAATGGCTTGGTGTGATTGAGGATTATTGTTTTGAGAGCTTGGTCGAAGTAACTGTGAAATAAATATATATTAAAAAGAGTTAAGTTGAAGGATACAACGATATGGTGGCAACCGATAACCCCCCACCCCCCTCCAATAGTTTGCAAAGTGTCCGTCACTGCCCTCTTTCAAACGCTTTTATCTAATTGCATATTTGTGTCTATTGTATTTATTCAGACAATGAAGAAGCTGATTTTTCATCACAAAAGAAGCAGATTAGGTTTGTTTTAATGCTTGTTGGTGAATTATTGCATGAATTTTTGAAATTTTGTGATTTTAGTATCGTACTGTATTTTTCTATATTATGCATTTGATATATATTTTAGGTTCAAAAGCCTTTCGCCAGCAAGGTTTGTCTATTTATTCTTGTCCAGTGTGCTTATTCACTGCAAAAGATTGTATTAAAAAACTTGAGCGAAATAATGCACCAATGCACATTGACTGAACATTTTGAGTAAAGTTACTCAAATTTAGGAGCAAATTTACTCATTTATTGAGTGAAGTAAATCTCTAGTAAATTTGAGTAATTTTGCTGACAATTTTGAGCCACTCCATGTGTATTATTAAGCTTTTGAGGTTTTTTGGCATTGACTGAGCCTGGGGGAAATGCTTGCCAGTCAAACGAAGCCGAGAGAAAAATTTGGCTAATAGGAAAATTTGGGGAAAAGTTCTACCAATTAGCCTTTCTCACAATGACGACCCATTTTTGGGTGGCATCCAATTCTCGTTAACCAATGCAGACAACTAAAACAATGTGAAAAGCAATTTTTCAAAATAAACTGACCATTTACAAAGCAAATTTACCATCATTTGTCAAAAAAAATATAAAAAGTCGCTGTTATGTGGACTTATCTCGCAGACTTCGGCTGAAATGCCAGCCAAAAATGGCGGCGTAGAATGGCTAATTGAGTACCAAACATACTGTTTTCCGAAAGTCCCATTCAAGAAGTATTCTATTATATATCTAAAAACCCCGAGAATGTTTCAATTTGTTATTCACCGGTGAATAAAAGTGATGTCCACCGCTCAGATGTGATGAGGTGCAAGAATACATAAACTTTGAAACGTGTTATATAATAATAACCTTTTATCCGACTACGTAAAATTAACTTACTTAAACTGTGGCCATTTCAGGACATAACCAGCTCGCCTAAATGCTATAACTTTATTTATAGTCCTGGCACAGAAGACTCGTTTACGTTTGACGCTCGGCCCAGTCAGTTCACGAAAACTGTCGTCGCTAGGATACCAGAAGAAGATGACGTGATGGAAACCAGGACGGGATCTGGTGCTGAGAACAGCTCTGAGAGCGTGTCGGAGTCTGAGAACGAAACTGGTAAATAATCATTCTTTTTATTATCACGGTTTTATCATCCTCGTACCCATAACCTCTCTTATGCGCGGGCAACGGAGCGGCTCTCCGGAACCAGGAAAACCTGGTTCCTTCTTGTTAAATAGCACATGCTTGAATTCGTACTCACACAATATTAACTTTATAATCAAAGTTTGGCTGACTTTAATACTTCCTCATCTGAGACCCTCCCTGTTCAACTGATCGTCTCCACACGTCTCCATTTCGAAACTTTCCAAACTTCTGATATCAGATTGCTTCAAGATTCAAAACTATTGTGGCAAACGCACTAGACCAACGTTTTAGTCGTCTTTTCCTTTGCAGCCAAGTTACGTTCTTGGTCAGGAACACATTCGTTACTACACGAGGAAATAATACTCCATTTTTATTGCATATCTCAATCAATTCCAACTCGCTTTTCCTTGAGGTCCAGGTGTTACTGCAGGAGGAAAACTACATATATGTTATTGATTGAGCGAGAGGTCCGGACTGTAGCATATTAGTCGAGTTCTTGTTAGTTTCCCGACTTTGTTATATCACATTTTACAACGCTAACGATTTGAAAATGTAGTGTAAGTTTTGTTGCTCTTATTTAAAGTAAAGTCTTTTCCATCTTAAGAAAAAGACAAAAGCCATATTTTCCCCAACTCAACTTTTACTTTATGTAGCGCGACCCCCATATTTGTTTTGTTTTGAAGCAATCTATGGCAATGATCGTTTTTGAGGACTGCTTTAAGCTAATTGGCTGAATTTTGATCGCATTGTTACCGAATCTTTCACTGTTGTTACAGATTTTTGCACTGCTGTTTGGTCGAATAACATTTTTATGTATATTATTAAATTATGTTAACTTTTGAGACTTAATATTTCAACTGCTCTCTATTGTGTAGAAATGCAGCCTTCTACTTCAGGGGAAATATTAAGTAAACCAGATGATACCGTGCGAGAGAACGGAGGATTGGAACCTAGTAAAGAAAATGACGTCACCGTAGTGGCAATGGTTGATCTGGATAATGACGCTGATAGTCAATATGAGGGTAAGTTTCTTAATATTGGCAATTTTCAGCCATATTGCGTGGTTGCCGTGAACTCAAAAACGTTAAATAAAGGTTAGTTTGGTTTAATTTATTTGATTTTTTGTTATAGCGACGCAACCCACTTTAACAGAGAAACCATTTGAACTTGCTGACAACGTTCAGCCTGCGGACTCCACTCAGCCTGCGGACTCCACTCAGCCTGCAGACTCCACTCGGCCTGCAGACTCCACTCGGCCTGCAGACTCCACTCAGCCTGCAGACTCCACTCAGCCTGCAGACTCCACTCAGCCTGCAGACTTCTCCCATCCCGCAGACTCTCCTGAACCCGCGAGTGATGAGGCAGCAAGCAGTGAGGTTCAAGCCGTTGCTTTTGTTGAGTTTAATGAAGATGAGGATGATATTACAGATGATAATGGTAATATGTTACACAAGCTTTTGTGGATAGGGATGCCACTACCTGAAAAAATGAGAAATTCGACGTTTCGAGCGAAGGCTCTTTGTCGAGAAGTTAGGGCGCTATCGGTTAGGTAGGCTAGCTAGCTAACTGGGCTCTCGTAAACGCTGCATGCGATAAAATTGTCTTGTTACTTTAGAAGAAACGACACAACCTAGTAGGAACGAAGAAACGCTTGTTTTTGGAAAACCAGAGTCAGAAAATGACGAAGCAACACCGCCAACTAACGATGGCTCTTTTATGTAAGTTTAGAAATATGTAAGTTTTGCTCTTTAGTCCCTGAACACGTACAGGCCGATTAATAACACTACACAAATTTTGCCTAAAACTGCCGCATGCAACCTTCTTACAACTTGAGTTGTACTATGTAAATTAAGCACGCAACTCGCTTACGTTGTCGTAGGTGAGTTGTGTACTTGATTTACACAGTACAACTCAAGTTGTAAGCAGATTGCATGTGACAGTTTTACGCAAAAGTTGTGTAGTGTGAATCGACCTTATGATAATTGTAAACCGAGCTATTTTGAGAGTAAAGTTGGGACACGCCAAATAGAGCGGGTATTGCAGGAAATATGGAGGGACACATCGAAGCTTCCGAATGGGGGCAAATTTACACTATCTGATTGGCTAAAATCTCGTTCCCTACATGTACGTATAAAGTCTCGTTTGCGGGTGCAAAGTCGCGATGTTTAGGTACAACGACAAAAATAATATTGAAATATAATAACTTTGAAAACATTAACTTTTTCCGGTTTAGGCGTAGTTAAAAGATTAAAATAAACAAGAGTACCTCGACTTCAGTTCAAAACGGTTAGGTGGAAAACGCGGACACGCGGACATGCGGACACGCAAGTCAAGTGGAAAACGCGGACATGGGGACACGGACATGCGGACACGCAAGTCAGGTGGAAAACGCGGACATGCGGACACGAAATTTACTAAACTTCAAAAAATCTATTACGACAATAATTAATAATTTTCGCGTGATATTGAAAGTTATCAATGCCGAGGTTGTGTTTTTCTC